CTCCATTATCCAGCAGATATTGGCAATTTGGTCTCTTGTTCCTCTGCCTTTTCTAAACCCAGCTTGTACATGGGTTTACAATGTACTTGGGGTATAGGGCAGTGTAAATCCAGCCTTAGTGTACAGACAAATGCATGTTGAGATTGACATACTGGAGTAATATGCAGGATGCCCCGCATTGTCTGCCTCTGTAGCTCCTATTTTCCCTTGGATCTAACTAATCCAACCTCTTGATTCCTCCTCTTAGGGATCTACAGTTTCTAAAAAGGAGACGGCACAAGAACTGGAGCAGCTGAAAATGCAGGTGACAAAGCTCCAGGCAGAAAAGGCCGATCTGGTGGCCATAATTTCAGAGCTGCAGCTTAAACTCAACAGCACCACGGCTGAAGATTCATTTGTTGAGATCAGGATGCACGTAAGATGCTTTTCTGTCACTTAAAAAGATAAAAAACGTGAAAGTGTCGTCAGGTTAGGCTTTTTTTTCTTTAGGGTGTGTGCCTACACTCCTTCGTTGTGCAACAGATGAGATGAAGAGCTTAGGATTTCCAGTTAAAGCTTCCTTTGTAGCAGGATACTATTAATATATTGCTGTTCCACGTGTACTATTCAGTCATACAGTAAATTAAGGATGGTGCACTGGGAAAACCAAGGTTTCAGTGCAGTCTTCTGTCGCAGAGGCCTTGGGCCACTTAAGTTGCAGACTTAGTTGCTTCCGGGGGGGGTGACTAAAATGATCAAGGGTCTGGAGAACAAGCCCTATGAGGAGTGGCTTAAAGAGCTGGGCATGTTTAGCCTGAAGAAGAGACGACTGAGAGGACACATGATAGACATGTATAAATATGTGAGAGGAAGTCACAGGGAGGAGGTAACAAGCTTGTTTTCTCCTTCCCTGGAGACTAGGACACGGAACAATGGCTTCAAACTACAAGAAAGGAGATTCCGTCTGAGGAAGAACTTCCTGACTGTGAGAGCCGTTCAGCAGTGGAACTCTCTGCCCCGGAGTGTGGTGGAGGCTCCTTCTTTGGAAGCTTTTAAACAGAGGCCGGATGGCCATCTGTCGGGGGTGCTTTGAATGCAATATTCCTGCTTCTTGGCAGGTGGTTGGACTGGATGGCCCGTTGAGGTCTCTTCCAACTCTATAATTCTATGACATCCCTGCTGATGTCTTTAAAGGGCATCTACACTGTAAAAACTGATACAGTTTGACACCACTAACTGCAATGGCTCAGTGTTATGGAATCATGGAAATTGTAGTTTGACAAGGTCTTTAGCCTTTTCTGCCAAGAAGTGCTGGTGCCTTATCAAATTATACATCTCAGGATTGCATCGCATTGAGCCATAGCAGTTAAAGTGGTGTCAAACTGCACTGCTTCTACATTATAGATGCACCCTAGGACAGGGAAATAATATTAGATGCGAAAACTGAAGTGAAATTTAGTTACTGGTTTTTTTTTTCCAAACCTAGCACTATATTTCAGATCATTGTATGCCTCGAGGGGATAGAATTGCCTACAATGCTGCCCTGGCATTTCTAAACCTAATTTGTGCAACATTTGTATATTTTTGTTTAAAAGACATAATTCAGCTGTACTGTGTAACTAACAAATTTTCTTGTTTTTCAGGAGGAAGAAGTGAATGGAGCTTTAAAGGAAAATCAAGATCTTAGTGATAAAAGAATGGGTGACACAGCTACCTATATGTAAGTCGGGCTTGTGGGATATTGATCATACTTGTGGATTTGCTTGGTTGGGTGGGTTTTGATTTTTTTGCCCTGCCTTTTCTCATTCACAGACCTCTATTAGAAAAAGGATTGTTTTGATGTATCTTAATAGATATAAGTCTCTGACATGAAAATTGATTTCGGTTCTGGCCGTCCTATCTATTAACAAAAGATATTGTATGAATGAAAATGGAAAGAAAAGGGAGCAGCAGTTCAACAAGATGAACTTTTGGATAAATAGAAACTTCTCATTCAAAGATTAGACTGCTGGACTACTTTACTATGAAATTCCAAGCAATGGGCGTATTTTTATTTTGGGGGAAAGGTATGAACGGGTAATGATAAAAGATACCTGTGAGGAAGTAAAGGCACTATCGTGTGGCAGGGGAGACCTTTCTTTTCTATCCCACCACTGCCACCATTTTATATTGTAGCGAAGTAAAGGCACAGTTGTGTGGCAGGGGAGACCTTTCTTTTCTATCCCACCGCTGCCACCATTTTTATATTGTAGCGAGGGAGGGAGACTATTTCTTTATTTAAGAAAAACCTCTTTACTCTTATAAGGATTCAGTTTCTTCTTTTATATTTGCTTGGACTTTCTGTGTGTTGTTTAACCTTTGTACAGGCACTGAGACACACTTCTGTATAACTAAGTAACACAGTTTATTTATAACTTCAGGCTCCAAACGCTTGTGGTTACATTTGTGTTTTGTTGCAATCCTGAGACTTACAGTCAGTATAATATACTTGGTTTACTTTTCTGAAATAGACTTTCAATGTTTCTCATTCACAAACATGTCACTTGCTTTACACACTCTTGACTGAAATTATGTTCTGACTAAAGCACCACTGGCTTTCTTTATGTTCCTAATAACCTGAGCTCTATTTGACTAACTGCTTATTTCTAACAGGAGTTCCTAACTCTTCTCTCTCACAGAAGTTCCTAACTATCTCTCACAAACAGGAATCCCTAACTCTCTAACTGTACCTCACAAACAGCAATTCCTAACTCTCTAACTGTACCTCACAAACAGCAATTCCTAATTAACACTTTTGACTCTCTAACTGCCTATTTTTAAACGTTGGCTCCACCCCTTTGGAATGTTTAGCTCGGCTCTCCCCAACTGTCATTTTGGCCTAGCAACCTGTCAAATCCTGGGCCTACGCTAATCTACATATGACCAATCGGCTTCCATATGCAAATGAATCCTATCCCTGCTGTTGCTACCCTGTCTGTGCCTATTCTTCCCTATCTGCCATATGTAAACATAGAGGTATACACCAAAAATTTAACATAGAGTAGCAATTTCGCTACAATACCACTTAATATCTTAATAAATAATTGAATTTTACCCTGTTAACCGCCTTGAGTCACCTACAGGCTGAGAAAGGTGGTATACAAATACAGTAAGTAAGTAAATAAATAAATATCAGTTCTTCTGCTGCCCATGTCTCCTGGATTAGTAAAATACGGTGATGGACGAGGAAATCTGAAATCAGGATCTAATGGAGGCATGCCAACCAGCTACGTTCCATGTCAGCACGGAGATGCTATGCCTGGAACTTGATTGTCATACCTCAAAAAGAGCATGGACTTCATCTTCAACTCCCCTTTGTCTCCCCGTCTGTCGCTTTTCTCTGTATAAGGAAAATGAAGGTTGTCCTTCCCTTCTGGAACATAGGGGAATCAGAGCCTCAGTGGCGGCCATGTGTAAGTTGCTGTTAGGAGCGTCCCCCATTGCAATGTCCTGTCCCAAGTTGAGTTTCCTCCTCCTTTCTCATTCTACCATGGAGCTTTTCCTGTAGCGATCTCAGTCCATCTAATATTTCTCTCTGGCTTGTTTGTGGGAGGCGTTGGAATAATAAAAGATACAGAATATAGGAGTAAAAAATTAAAAAGGTGTGGACAGAGTGACTGAAGCCTTTTCTTCCATGAGAAGTAACAAAAGGAATTGGGCTGTGGAAATAGCATGGGAAAACACAGATATTGAGCGGAACACAAATCTTAATTCCAAGCATGTATCACACTATGGTCCCTCCTTATTAAATTTGTATCAAAAGCATTACATAAATTAGTATAAAACCGATAAAAATAGAAGGAGTGCAGGTGGCTAATTATCTTTTGACCAAAAATGGGCAACAGCAATTGCATTGTCTGTAGCCCCCAACAAATCTTCCTCTATACATGAGGCAGGGCACAGTGGACAAGCATACAGATGCGGAGTTGTCTGTTCTGCTCCACAGTCACACAAGGTGTGGGATTCTTTTAGGTAGTGCCATTTTGCCAGGTTGCCTTTTGATCTGCCCACTCCACTTCTGAGTCTGTTCAGGGACTTCCAAGTTGCCCATTCTTGGTTTGCCCCTGGAGGAAGACCCTCGTGGGGGGCCATCCATTTGAGGTTTCCTGGTTTAACTGCCCAGAGGGATACCCTCGCTGTTGCTGGAGGGACGCCAAGAGCAGTGGTAGTTCTCATAAAGCTTTTTCTTGATTTGAGTCTACTGAGAGGAGGCTGGTAGCCATGTAGTGGGTGGCTTTCACAGTGTTCAACCTTATTTCTCTCACATTTAGCAGCAACTTCCCGTCACACTTCGGGGGGGGGGGGGGCAATGCCAGCTAGCTTGTAGAGTTTATTAGCATGTGTAGGTTTAAGACATCCTGTGATTATTCTGCATGTTTCATACAATTCTATGGTCCCTTCAAATTTACCAGGTACTGTTTAAACATATGTCACACAAATGTCTGATTAGGAGGCTGGGACTTGGACACTGGAAATTGCCTTTTCTGTACACTCAGTCTGTTTTGTCTTTCCTTTAATCTTCTGCAAAGGAGGAGCAGATCTATGGATGAAGCAAAAAAATACTTGCAAACGGAAGAGTTAACTGTCAGCCAGCTTCTTCATTCTCTGCGGAATGAGACTCAGAGGAGGGAAGCATTAGAAAAGGAGGTGGAGGAACTAAAGGACAGGTACCAACGGTTAATTATTAAATATAACGTACATATATAGGCTCATATAAGGATGGCAAGACTTGTACTTAACATTGCAACAATATTTGAAATTCAGAGGATTTTGCTGTATCATCGCAACTACATACAACACAGTGGTCTGCAATTGTAAAATTCATAGGAATCTAAATTGCACCTTAACAGTTCAATTAGTGAGCAGCAAGTAAAAGAAGATTTTAAAAATTATGGCAATGATTTGACCCAGACTGGATTTTAGACTGATTTTAATAGGTGTGTGTTAATCAATTGTTTTAATTGTTGTTTTAATATTTTTAATATGTTGTTTTAATATTTTATTATAATGACACCATATGGTGTTTGTGAGGCTGCCCTGAGTCCTCCCTCAGGGGTGAGAAGGGTGGGGTATTGTGGTGAAGTGTGAATTTTAATCTACAGTTATGTATAATTATAGATAGGTGTTTTAAAAGGTAAGTATTTAAAATAGCATAACTGGGGGATGGTAGCCAGCTGAGCTCACTCTGAGCTGGGTTGCCATGGGAAAAGGGGCAGAGCCAACTGCCACTTGGCAGGGCAGGCATTTTAAAACAGTCAGTCTGTAGTCTGAGAACTGCAGGAAAGGCTGGTTCTACAGTGGTGAAAATCAGGGAAGCAGTCTGTAGTTAGAGAACTACAGGGAAAGGCAGGTTCTACTGTGTTGAGAACCAGGAAGATTTAGGCTTTTAGCCTGTGAGGTTTAGATAGGTCAAGTTGACTTATTTAGATTAGTAGTTAGTGTATGAACAAAAAGGGGGAGAGAAACCCAGTAAGAATCTTTACTGCAACAGAGGTAACTTAGGGAAAGAATAAGCTGGTACCTGAAATGATCTGTTAAGGAAGGAAACACAGTTTGAAGAAAAAATAAGTTTAAAACCTGTCTAGTGGAAGAAACAGTCCTCTTAAGAGTTGTTTTATGAAACGTTATAAATGTAACCACTGAAGAAATGTGCCTCTAGGAGTTAAGAAACATTGAAACTATTAAGCTTATTCTATACTTCAATAAACTTGTTACAGTTTCTCTTAAAGCCAAGGCTCTGTTACGAATACTTTCAAGTCAAACCGTGCTACACATTGAAGAAAGACCAGCAAAGTATTATAAGCTATTCGCTGTGTTATCAATTTTATAAATCCGTTACAGGTATAAATATAGGAAATAAATAAATCAACAAACAAACAGTTGCCACTGGAAATGTTTGGGATATATTTTTTTATTATTAAATTCTCTTGAAGTGAAAGGTACTGGGGGTGCTAGAAAGTCCTTTTCCAGTTGTCTCTTTCTAGGGAGAGATCTCTGGATCCAAATGAGTACATTGAACTTGGAACTAGATTCTTGCCTTTCACAGAGCACCGAAGATGGAGTATACCACGGATGAGAAGGGCTCTCAGACGGAACATGAAGAAGAGGAAGCAAAAGTGAGAGCAAAATGTACTACTCATTTATGTAGGCTGCATACCAAAGAAAATGTTTTTGCATTTATTATTTTTCCTACCAGTAGACCATGTGATGTCTGTAAACTATTCTCCAGTTTCCTGTATTCACTTGCAGCCATGTGCATGGTGATCTCATGCCTTGTGTCTTAGAATGCCTCATTGTGACATTTGGTGAGATGCTGTAAATCTGCCTATTTGGGATTCCCATCAGGCAGAATGGCATGGCCTCAGTTGGCAACAGATAACACCATCTGTGATTTCAGCAATGCACCATACAGTCAAGTCTTACCCACAGAATTGCCAAATGAAGGAGGCAAGGGGAATCAGATCCCTTTCAGATTAGGGTCCTTATAATGAAAAGGCATGATGACCCACTGAATGTGTGCAATTCATCCAATCTGCCTATAGTATCTGGAGTGGTTTAAAACAACTTGTAATGCCCCCCCCCACCCCGTTTCTAGGGTTGGAAGGTAGAACTTGCCCACCATGGATTTGTTGGGAAGCCTTTGACCCCTGATTCTCATTTCGATATCCTTATAGTAAAACCTTTACAACCATCAACCATTACATCTGGGAACAGAGTATAAAATTGTGCTGTTGGGTTTGGGTTTTGATTCATCTCTTTCTTGCAGGTGGGCGATGAGGTAGAAACTCTAAGCCTGCAAGTGTCTGCTCTGTTCAGAGAACTTCAAGAGACCCATTCTAAATTGGAAGAAGCTGAAGTAATCCAGAAGAAGCTGCAAGAAAAGTAAGGATGTTGTTTGTATTGAAACGTCAGAATAGATATTAGGAACATCTCAAAACCTGAGGCCCAGCTGGTGGTCCTAATGACATCTGTGGTAGCTTTTTGTAGTTAAGATCTAGATACATCCCCATTTGTACTACTCTAGTTCTCAAGATGGGTTCATATAAAAACAAATTCAGACAGAGTTATCTAAAATGGTTTCTACTAGCTAGCAAGGGTATAATTAAAAATTCTCTGAACATATGTGGAGCACTGTACAGGAGTTGATTATAAATTGTATGATTTTAACTGTATTTGTGTTTAGATTGGCTGCAGTAATGCTGGAGCGGCCTAAGTCAGGGGAGTCCTCCATGTGCGTTGCCATGGAGACCGATGCGGGAGAGAGGGAAGAGGGAGGAGCTTAGAGGGGAGAGTTTGAGAAAACGACAGTTAAAAAATCAGTTAGGGTTTAGGTTTAGAGGTGTGAGCAGTCCGGGTTTAGGTTCAGGGGAGTCAGGAGTTAGG